AAACCACACACATGGCTCGCTGTTTATAAACTCTGCGGGGGAGCTGCAATACCCACGTGTGAGGTTTTGTGTTGTCCAAGTGCCAGGCTTCATATTAGACCCAAGTCTACTCCAAAATGCAATTGAAGACAAAAGGGGTCGGTGTGTAGGGTTACTTGTAGGACATTAGAGGAATCAGATTTTTTTCCATATGGGACTTTAAAAGGAACCAACCCAACACAGTGGGGTCAGGATGCCCTACCACTTGTGACGAGGACACGGAGCTCTAGGGCTGTAGCTGGGTTTCTACCCCTGCTGTAGTTTGGATGTGGAATGTCTCCCAAATGCCCATGTGTTAAAGGGTTGGTCCCCAGCTTGGCACTATGGGGAGATAGAGCATTTAAGAGTTGGGGGGGTATGTAGGTCACCGTATTTCTCTTTCTCACTTTCCAGTCACAAGGTATGCAATTTTATCCACACACTCCTGCCGGGACATCCTGCTTTTTCACAGGCTAAAAAGCAATAGTGCCAACCAATCATGGTTTGAAATCTCCATAACCTCCAAATAAAGCTTTTCCTTTTCATAGGCTAATTATCTCAGATATTTTATTACAGCTACAGAAAGCTGACTAACACAGTCCATCTCCCAACACACATCTGGAGCTCAGGCTCCTATTTTCACAATGATATTGACCATCAAGGAAGAGGGACTTGGATCTTCTATGATCCTCTCTTTTCACTATAGTGTAGACCCTGGGAGAGATTCTGAACTCCTCCAAATAACTTCAGAGTGCAGGTCATTGCTCCACCCAGGGCTCTTTGTCCTCTCCTCCATCCTGCGCATGCCGCGAGGCGATGCACAGTTCTACCCCTTTAATTTCTAGCTGAAAAACTTCCAGAGTGTTTGGGGCACTTCCTAACTTTCAAATAAATTATTTAAAACATATACAAGCGAGGGAAGAAGAGAGAAGCAAAATGATGACAGGAGAGAGAAAAGAGAAAGATCTGTAGAGAAGGAAAATAGAATAAAAATGAATTTTAATATTTCCATCATGAAGGATGGCAAGCTCTTAACAAAGAAGCAAGCAGCAAATACTTTCAGCATTGCAGGCTAACTGCTCTCTGGCAATCACTCTTCCTGCGGCAGCAGCCACGGCCAATACATAAACATGTGAGCGTGGCTGCGTTCCAATAAAACTTTATTTATAAAAGCAGTCAGTGGTATTATTTGTCAAATCTCTGCTTGAGACCATAGGAAAAATGCCTTGCTTGAGTCCTAGTCTATGTTTACCAGACTATTCACAGCAGCACTGTTTGCAATAGTCAAAATCTAGAAATGATCCAAATGTCACCTCAACATACTCATACTAAGGTATGATATCCAAAATTAATGAACTATAACTATACATTTCAATATGGATACCTCTTAAAACCATAAATACAAGCTGAGTGTGATGATGCATGTCTATGGTCCCTCCCAGCTACCTGGGAGGCTGAGGCGGGAAGATTGCTTAAACCTGGGATCTGTGAGGATAGCTGAAGCAATAGGAGACCCCACCCTGAAGGAAGAGAGGAAGAGAGGGAGGAAAGGAAAGAAGGAAGAAAAAGGGAGAAAGAGGAAAAGGAGAGGAAGGAAGGAAGCAGTTTAAAAACCATACATGCCGAGTGGAGAAAAGTCACAGGAAAGATGCCACGCGATTCCATTCACAAATTCACAAGTTCAAAAATAAGTAAAACTAAACAGCAGAGATTTATACTTAGGTACATGGGGAAACTGAAGCAAGAGACTGATTGAGCCCAGCTGTCCTGGCAGGGAAAACGGGGGGTGTGTGTGGGAGGCGCTCAGAGGAGGCTTCCCACCCTGGGGGCTGTCACCCAGCCTGCTTCTGATTGCTCACCTCCCAGCCATAAATGTTAAACACGCTCTTTGGAAAGCTAAGGAAAGCTGGGGCAGGGGCGGGGGACAACAGCTGGGGCCGGGCACTCACTGAGGATGCAGCTTGTAGAGGGTCCCATCCACACCCACTGTCACTTTGAGGGTGTCCAGCCCGCGGTTTTCTCGTATCTTGTCCACCACGGCAGCCATGCCTGCGCCGCAGAGCTGGGCCGCCCGCCGCGCCACCACGGTGCACACCTCCTTGACAATGATGCTGTCGTCACAGGTGCTGTCGAGCCCCAAGTGGTGCAGGATGGCGCGGACCTGCAGCAGGGCTAGGCAGTCACTGGGCAGGAAGGAGACAGGAGGGGTCAGTCACACGGAGAGGTGGTGGCCCACGCTCAGGCCCAGTTCCTTTATCAACACAGGCTCCTCAGGGGTCCGGCTCTTGGGGTGCCTGCAGGCCCTGTTCCTGAACTCAGCGTACTGCCCATCCCAGGGTCCCTTCTGACTCCTCCCAAGAGAGACAAGAACATAAAGACATGGCCACACAAGGTAGCACTGCCATATAAAACTGACATTCAGAACAAAAAGCAGGGCCAGGAATATAGCTCAGTGGCACAAGCACCTGCCTGGCAAGCACAAGGTCCTGAGTTCGATTCCTAGTGTGTGTGTATATATACATATATATATATATATAAGGCAGTTCCCTGTCTGTATACTCAGAGGAGGCTCACTGTGGATTCCACTCATTTGGGAATAAGGCAGTGGCAATGCCAGCGTGTGGCAGTTTCCAACCACAAAACTCTTTCCTATCCTTTCTCTCCTTGCTGTCTGTGGATCTGCAGGACACAGACACTTCTGACCAGCATTACAATCCTGCTCTATTTCTCCTCCTGCTTGTACACTCGTTATGATACAGAGGTAAATGGAAGAAAATAAACGCTACTACAGTGAAATATTTTAGAAACCTGGAATCATCTCCTCACGCATGAACATCCACGCAAATGAGAATATACCCTCTATCCACGGGCACAGATGCCCGAGAGGTCTATTCATATCAAGTCCCTACTCTATTACCTGAGAGGAATGACGGCATTAATTTTTAAAGGGCTCTAAAATTCACCATTCTAATTTGGAGCCGTCTTTTCAGCCACTGCACTGGAGAAGCAAGGCGTTGCTCTCACAGGCTGTTCTGCGGCTCGCTGATGCCTCTGGTCCCACCTGTACACAATCCCAGCTGTCCCGTTACGGCAACCAGCAGTCAGGAAAGACCTCCAAGCAGAGCACAGACACTTTGTTAGCCTGGCTACCTCTGTGTGTGTCAACTTACATCTTACCAGCAGGTTTCTTTCTAACTTTGATGTTTGGTTTTAAATCCCAACACTATCACTTTTCAGGCCTCATGCCATGCTTCACATAAGCTTTCAGGACAATCCTACATACCAATGTGTTAACCACTAAACTGATCTTTGTCTAAGCCACAACCTGAGCTCACTTGCACTACAGAAATCCTTCAGCTTACCCATCCATGAGAAAGAAGGAAGACACAGTTCCACCGGCCCCCAAATTCATACCTCTCAATCTGAGACAGGAACTTGGTTTCGAAGATTCCCCTTGTCTTGAGCCGCTCCGAGATGCGGCCGCGGAACAGCAGCCCGCGCTTGGTGAAGTCGATGAGGATGTTGCGGACAATCTCGCCCAGGTACATGCCGCTGATCATTTTCTCAAATCTGCAATTGCAGTAACATTCATGGAGGTTAAGCAGGAAGGTGGTGGGACAAACAAAGTGGACGGGAGCAGGCTGCCCTTGGTAGGAAAGGTGCCATTTGATTCACTAGGGCAGGTTTCCTGGTGGCCTCCCTTGCTGATCCACCAGCTGACCATAGTGCCCGAGGCCCACAGGGCTCCCTGGGACTGGCACCAACTCCTAGGCTCATTTCTTCTCCAGGGCTTATTTCCAGCTCCTCCAGAAGGAACACACACCAAACCCTGCCAAGCCTCCATAGGCAGGGAAGGCTGCTGAGTCTTAGCCCGTCACTCTTCCAGGCAGGAAGCGTGCTTTCTATTGGACCCGATCAGCGTTACCCAGGTAACTAGCACCCGCTGCAGAGCCTCGTCCTGGCCACTGGAGCTGGAGGTGACTGACATGGTTTGAGGATGTTTTGGCCCTATATAGTGCCTTTCACAAAGTCAACCATGGGTCACTGTCCCACCTAACCTGAGTGCAGCCCGCTTCCCAGAGGCATTTTAGTCTGGGAACTACATGGTAGACAAACGTTTTGCAAACTACACTCTGTAGGCCTAGGGTCCGCAATTAATTCAGTTAGGAAACACTACAGATAACTTCTTCCTAACGGGCTGAGTGTCAGCTAGAGCTCAGTCTCTCAGCTCAGACCACCCCACCGCTGCACAGGGGGTGTTGTGACACTGGCAGTAGAAGGTACCAGGTGCCGACGGCTGGAGAGGATGAAAGGATTGGCTCCTGGGTGGGCCAACCCAGCAGCGCTTCTCCCAGGGCAGCAGGAGGCCCCCTTTCCATGTGCTGTCCCTCAGAGCCTCAAGACCTGGGTTCCAGTGCTCTCCTGCCTGTTCTCCAAGGCCTCCAGGTGGAGCGTGCTGCTCGTATTTGCTAATTCAGAATTTTCCGGGTATTTCTGACAAGAAACCCTTTTGCGGAAACCCAGTAGCAACTCGACACAGCAAGCACCCTGGAGGCCGCGGTGAAGGCTCTGATCAGTTGGTCACTGGCTGCAGGCCAGCGCTGGGTTGTGTCGCCCATGTAACTGCGTGCCTACCTCTGTTTGCCGGGGTTCAGAGAGAGCTCATCCACAGCCACATCGAACTCCGTGCGGAAGTCATCTAAGCACCCGTTGTCCCCGAAGGCCCCCCACTCCATGTTGACGCACATCCGCCCCTCTTCTCCGTCCACCAGCTCCACATTATGCATCTCCTCCATGTAGCAGGCGTTGCTGCCCGTGCCTGCCAATCACAAGGGCATCTCGCTCACACCCGCCTTCCACCCAGGCGAGGCGGAGCATCCCCGCGTGGGAAGGGTGGCGGGTGTCCTTACCAACGATGAGGCCAACTTCACAGTGCGGGTCTTCGTAGCCACAGGTCATCATAGTTCCTACTGTGTCATTCACCACGGCCACGACGTCCAGGTCAAACTCCTGAGAGGGCAGAAGCAGATGTCTAGTCCACAAATGAACCCCGCTGTTCAGCTTTCAGACATTTGCAAGGGAGACTTCTAGGTACATATAAAATAAGCCACACTGTGGCTTACCCATCTAAGTCTCTGCTCAAGCATCACCTGTTCTGAGACCTGGTCCCTGGTTGTGCTGGTAAGATCACACCCACTGAGTCATGGGCTTTTCTTTATCGAACTAGACCTAGCGGTCACTCACACATCCCGCTGCCCGGAGCAGAGCTTAAAGCACAGGAGACATCTGACCACTGCATGGCTAAGTTAATTTCCCTCCGACCAAAACAACTAAACTCCAAGCTGCAGCCGCTCTTGGAACACGTTTCACAGATGAAGGAACTGACGCGGGAGGTTTCACGCTGTGTCTCTCCTACCTCTCGCCGGTGGATGGCTTCCTTCAGCAGGGTGACCACGTCCTCGCCCTCACAGCCAGAGGCCTTGAAGCCTTTTGTCCACTTGAGGAGAATGCTCTAAAGATCACATGCGTGCAGGAGACAACATCAGAGAAGGCCTCGTAGGTCATTCCTGGACCCTGGCTACGCTTCTAGACCTCAGCCTCACAGATCAGGTTCCATTGGAAACTTGTTTCTTTTCTTTTCCATTTATTTATTTATTTATGGAGACAAGGTATTGCTGCTATGAAGGTCAAGCTAGCTGTGAACTCACTACGTAGCCCAGGCTGGCCTTGAGCTCCAGATATACTCCTGCCTCAGCCTCCTGAGTGCTGGGACCTAAACCTCTTTCTAAGGTACTCACTTGGATTTACTGAGTACCTACTGTGCACCATATACTGGGCTAAGCACTCACATGTGTTGTATCATTTAATCCTCACAGCCACCTTGTAGAACACTTACCACAAGCACACTACTTCACAAGCAACCGGGGAACTGAGGTAACTTGCCTGAGACCTACAGTTTGAAGACAGGAGCGGGACTCACCTCCAGGCATAGAGACACCAGTGAATGGGCTCGCAGCGCTGAGCAAATGCCCCTATGCACTTGTTTCCTTTCCTGGGCAAAGCAGCTTACCCTGTCCCTGCCCTTCGTTAGAAAAATCATGTGGCTGTTAATTTTGATGCTGTAGTATTCAGTAAATGTGTGCCCCCACCATAGCAGACAGCATGTCTAGACTTTGCCATCACCCCACATTTCTCAATGAGGGAAGCTGTCCACCACCCAGAGTCCTCTGTGCTCCTGTCTGTAATGCAGTCCTTCACCATATCACAGGGCCACCTGGGGAGCAGGCATCCGGGGGCTCTGTACCTGAGATGTTTGCTCTCGGGTGCCCTCTATTCTGTGGCAGTCAACAGGAACCCACACCGGGATCCCCAGATCCCTTTCCAAGAGGCCAGAACACGCCAGTAGGTTGTGTGCTCACTGCCACCCACTCCTGTCTCCAGGACTTCTTTGGTGGTTCGTGCCCACGAGCCTGGCACTTTATCAACCCGGGTGTTCCCGGGAGATTCAGCAGAACAAAGTACACCCCTGTGAAGCCCTAGTTTAAATACCCACGTCCTGACAAGGGTGTGTTTTCCTCCACCCACCTCTCTTGTCTACAAGTTAGTTTCTCTTCTCTGGCAAAGGTTTGTATTTGACGCTTTGAAGTTTACAAGGGCCGGGGGTGTAGCTCAGTGGCAGGGCGCTTACCCAGCATGCATGAGGCCCTGAGTTCCATTCTCAGCACCAGACAATGAAGTCTACAGAAGGTTCAAATAACATCATCTCAAGTGATCTTTGTAGTAAGACAAAAACAGGTCCCAACAGCTGAGGAGGTTTGCCCATGGCCAGTGGTACTAAGGCACAGCTGGATGCCCCTGGGCCTCTGGGCCTCTTCAGCACCTCACCTGCTGAGGCCTGGTGAGCAGAATGATCTCACTTGAGCCAACAGACAGAACTGCCTCCCACAATGCTCCTCTTTTTCACGATTCTAGACCTAACATGTGCTTCTTACAAAACAATTGAAAATGCAGAATAAAATCCAGCGAGATGATCTGGGATCTTACAATCCAGATAGAAACAATTAACACACCTTCCAGTTTACCTGATAGGTAGATAAAGGACATATATCTGTTGATGTGAAAAGATAGCATCTGCTTAAAACGAAATTTAGTAGGAAAAGCCTGCAAGAATATACACTGGAACCGGGCATGGTGGTGCACACCTGTAATCCCAGCACTCAGGAGGCTGAGGCAGGAGGACTGCTATGAGTTCAAGACCAGCCTAGGCTACAAAGTGAGCTCAAGGCCAGCCCAAACTGCATAGCAAGACCCTGTGTCAAAGAGATCAAAAAAAAACTTATATATATATATATATATATATATATATATATACTGGAGTGTTTTGCTTTTATCTTCCTATTATATTTGTCTATATCATGGAGATTATTATTTTTTCAATCCCCACTCAAGATTATTATTTTTAAAGAAAAGTTATCCAAAACAACTTTCTCCAGACTTTTTCAGCATACTCCTCATTCTTCTGGTGTCCTGCAGGTGTGTACTCCATGCCCGTGGGGCTGTGGCATCCCACCCAACATGCTCCAAAATGCAGCTCCTACTTTCCTGAGTTTACTTTATCAGCCCAGTTGATCTGAAGGCACCCAAGGCAGCAACGTTGCCTTCTGTAGCGGCAATTGCATCTTCAGCAAAGCGTACACCTATGGCACATTCGAGGGCTTCTTCTATATGACTGACAGAGGGAGGAGCAACTGCTCAAATAACTGTATGCTGAGGCCTAAGTCAACAGCCCAGGCCAGAGCACTGCCTAGTAGTCCTCTACCTCTTGGGGAGAACATCTGTGAGCCCCAGACCTGCACCAATCTGCTTCATCCATCCAAGGCAAGTTGAAGGAGGATGGGAAGCAAAGGTGGGACCAGAGGAGAGCCAGAGCTTCCACTACGGGAGACAACAAAAATGCCCTGAGCCATAACAAGGAGCAAGGCAGCACAGCTTGCCAGCCGTGAGGACCCAGTGTCCGTACACCTAGCTCCTTTCCTGAGAGGCCACAACTTGCCAGGAAGCCGTGTGCTCACCGCCACCCCCCTGCACGGTGCCTCTAGCACTTGCTCAGTGCTTCATGCCCATCAGCTTGGCGTTTTATCAACCTGGATGTGTCACGGATTCCGAAGAACAAAGCATATCCCTGTACAGCCCTGGCCTACACATCCGCATCCAGACAATATGGACATACACACACATATCTTATAGGGCTGCTGTGAAGATTAAACGAGATCATGCACATGGGAAGCCAGCACAGCACGTGACACAATGTGCTTAAAATCTTTGAGTGCTGTCTTGGTTTTGATCATGGTTGTTATTATTGTCCGAGCGACTACTACAGCCAAGCTAACCTGCTTAACTTCCACCCGCTCGATTAACTCATCCCCACCAGGAAGCTCCCCTCCCAGTGGTCACTCAGGCCCTTCTTTCCCTCCTCTCAGCTCAGCTTTCTCCCCAGTTCCGAACCTGGGCTCACTCATGTTATAAAAGCCCCCGGAGAGTGCTGGGGGGTGGTGTTACCTCATCCAGGCTGTTCTGCTGGCACGGGAAGGAGAAGGTGAAACCCAGCGGCAAGGACACGCCCTTCATCCCCATGTACTCCAGGAAGTCGGCGATGCACTGGACAATGTGGTCAAAGAGCTGCAAGGACAGGTTGGGGTGCTGAGAGAAGCGCCCTGGCCAGCGCAGGCTGCCTCCAGCAGAGCCTGAGCCCAAGCACAAGGTTCCTACCCAGAAGAAATCCAATCTCAGTCCCAGACCCAGGGAGAAACCCGACTGGCATCCTGGGCCCAAATGAGCCTCCTTGGGCCGTGGCTGAGCAGACAGTGCCATCTAGGAAAGCAAAAAGTCTCCCAGGCCCTCCTAGAGTGGAGCTTGCCTCACCTCCTCCCCGGTGCCGTGCATGACCTCCTGCGGGATGGAGTAGATCTTGTTATGCATCTCCACTCCTCGCCGCTTCCCATTCCGCACACGAACCAGCAGGACCCGGAAATTGGTGCCTCCAAGGTCCAAGGCCAGGAAGTCCCCTTTCTCTGGAAAGCCAACCCAGGAAAACAAGAAGTTGAGGTGGTAGAGAGTAACAGAGTTCATGCTCCTTACCCTGAAGAGGTGTCTCCCTACACCTCCCCATTCCTCACAGGGGAATGGAATATGAGACCCCCTAATGGGGAAGAAAATAAAGATACCCAGGTCATATCCCTGTAGGCCGCTGGTGGTCCTCAAAGGAGTCCATGTGGTGGGGGCCCAAAAATCACAACGAGCTCTGCAGAACATGGGGAATCCTGACACACTGCTTAAAACTATCTAAATACACCATTGTGTCAAATCAAATGTTACCCTAAGTTAGACTCTAGAATAGAGAGGGCAGCAGAGTATAGCTCTTTAAAGAAATCTGAGATGTCAATGTGCCAAAAACCTCACGAACACTCCTCATCCAACCCTTAGGCAATTCTGGGAAGGAGGCATCTCATTCCTCCCATGGGTGACCAAGATCCGGCTGCATGGGCAAAGTCACTTGCTCAGGGCTACAGTGCTAGAAAAAGTTGAGCAAGAATCAAATTCCAGTTTAATCCTCTGGAACTCACTAGCCCTGCTACAGTCACCTGCTTATCAATCATTTCTTCTGAAATGGCAAAAGACTTTGAGTTTTTTAGGTTACAAGACCTCTGTGACAGGTCAAAAATCTTTTTGGGTAAAGGGCAAACAGGAAACATTTCAAACTTTGTCGGTCAGGTAGACTCTGTTTCAACCCTTCAACTTTGGCAGGGTAGCATGAAGCTATCAACACTGTACAGATGGAAGCCATGGCTGCATACTAATAAAACTTTATTTACAAACATAGGCATAAGTCAAATTGGCCCATGGAATGTAGGTTCTAGACTTATGACCCAGACCAGTGTGATGGTTGTGAGAGATGGTTCTGGAGCCTGAAGTCTTAGTCTGAATTCCAGTTCTGACACTGACCAGCTGTATGATCTTGGGCAAGTTCGTTAACTTCTCTGTGTCTGTTTTCTGCCAAACATGGCAGTTTATTGAGGAAATTAACTTTCAAGTTTTTAGTGGTTAACAAATACTAACTGAGTTAATAGACAGTGAGCACTCCGTCACTACTCGCTAACATTACCGTTTGATTTTAGCAGAGGAACCCCCAGTCGACTGTATTGGAACACTAACATTCACTTCAAGTAAAACAGCTGAAGCCATACATTCTGTTTCAAACACCCAAGGCTACTGCTCAGGGAGCATCTCTCTCAGCATCAACACCAAGCCAGGGCCCTGCTGCGTACCTGTGCCATCGGGGGTGGCACACACGTAGGTGGGCAGCATCTTCACAGGAGCAATGCTGTGTGTCTCCTTGCTGAGACCCCGCTCCATTTCGACCTTCATCCTTCTCTTGACCTCCAGCAGCTGCTCGTAGCTCAGCTTTAGAGGCTCCAGGGTGTTCTGGCGGGCTCGGTGTTGGTCAGCCAGCCGATAAGCCACCGCCGTCACCATAGCTGCCCCTTTGCCACTGCCGTCCTCAGAGCGGAGAAAGCGAACGTCGCAGTCAGGTACCAGCCTCCGCACGGCCTTGTGAAGGTGCTTGGCAAAACTGCAGCCACCAAAGAGGGTGAGAAAGGTGTTCACGGTTAAGGGCTGTGGTACAAGGGGCTGCCCAGGGGCTACCGCCTCGGCCCTAACGCTAGGAGACCCCTGTGGGGGCGAGCAGATGCTATCCTCAACGTCCTTTCTCCCTTCTCATAAATTAGGAGTCAGCATGCAGAAACTCAGGCATTCAGCCCTGCCTGAGTTTATCCCACTGGGAAAGGAGCCTCTAACAAGCCAGTGTCCCCTGTATGCAGTCACACAAGACCTCCTCTTCCTCATCAAGCGGGGCTGCACACCAGTTCCTCTGCTCAGTAAGCTATAGTCAACCTCTGCTGGGGCGGCCCAAAGGAATCAGGTGCTCTGGTGCCGCTGTACTTTTCATGTCTATCATTCCTTTCATTTGATGCTGCCTGGGAAAGACACTAAGAACAACAATGCCCTTCTTCTGGCCTGTTTCTGCCAAAGATTCCCAAGGGGTCCAAAGAGCTGAGCGTATCGGGCACATTCAGCAAAAAGCTCTCCGGGTGGTGGCCGCTTTGAGCCAGGGTCTCACTACGCATGTGTGGTCTATGGCAGCTCCTCACTGAGGAGTGTTAGAGAATCCGGCTCATTCCAGATCTTTTGACCCAGAATCAGCCCCCAGCAAGATCCCCATATGATTCATGTATACACTGAAGATCTTGAGGCGCTGGGCTAGACGACTAGCAACCTCCAGGTGACAGCTTTCGCAGTAATCCATTCAGTTAATAAAGGTGTACTGAGCTGGCACTCACATTAAGAGAAAATGATGGGAAAATGGGAGCGCAATCAAGAGGTGTCTTCAGGTCTCAACTGAAATTTGAGCATTTGGGTATATACAATGGCAAGGATCTAAATAGGGGATCAATTTAATACCTAAGTCGGCCAGAGAGTAAGTAACCCACTACAGAAGTGGAGGACACAGCGTCTGCAGGAACCACTAAGGGTCATGCAAGAGTAAACAGTGAAAGAATAACTCCTAAGGAAGACGGTGGCAGGGAGAGCACCCAGCAGCCAGGGGAGCTCTGAGCAGAAGTCACCCCTGCTCGCACCAGGCATGACAGCTCCCAGCTCCCCCCTGCCGGCCCTGGACCCCATGGAGCGCATACTGGAACTAGCTCATGGAGTCACCAGTCCCAGGTGCTCCGGGCCTCCATCACCCCCAGGCCGGGGACGCTGACTCACTGAGGGTGTTTCTTGTAGACAGAGCCATCGACCCCGACGGTGGAGCGCAGCCGATCCTCGCCCTTGTTTTCCTTGAGGCGCCGCAGCACGGCGACCAGCGTGGCCGCGCACAGGCTGGCGGAGCGCATGGACACGATCTGGCAGACGCGGCGGGTGGCCACGCAGTCCTCCTGCAGGGGATCTATTCCCAGCCGTATCAGGACCTGGCGGGCCTTCTGGAGGCCGTCCTTCTCCCTGGGGAAACAGAGAAACGGGGCTGTGGGCAAGTGCGTGGCCACTGTGGACTGGCAAGGAAGCCTCACAGAAAACTCCACCTCCCGGGGCGCGCAGAATCGCTTTTCACAGCTGTGTGGGTGGGGCAGGAGCAGGACCCGGATGGGGATCAAACAGCCACCTGAGGCTTCTCTCCCAGACCACCTCTCTCTGTCTCTCTCTCTGTGTGGGCTTGCCTCGCACCTCCAGCTGTTTTCGCTCCAGCTGCTGGCGAAGGGCTGGTGTCCGGCCTGAGCCCCGTTCCCAGAGCAGGCAATGCCTAGCTAGCGCGAAAAAGCTTCTCCTGGGGCGCAGCAGCAGGAACGCACAGCTCCTTTGGGGTTTCCACTTACAACAAAACCCTTTAAACCTTATTCACTGCGCCCTTTGGTTCTGCAGCCACGTCCTCTCTACATGTGGCCCCTGAAAAGACAGGACCTCCTCTATCTACAAGAGGAAATCTCAAGAACAGACAGCTAGGTTCTTGCGATACTGTTTCCTGAAAAATAAAAATGGGACCTCACTCCTGCCGCTGATGAGCTGTGAATGGGTGGGCCTATCTCTGGGCATCTAAGGACCTATTTTGTGTTAGGAAGCAGGTGTCAGGATGGAGTCCTTTTGTTTTGATTTTTGGTACTGGGACTTGAACCCAGGGCCTTTGCACTTAGTTACACCCTCAGCTCTTTTTTGTTTTTTTAATTCTGAGACACAGTCTCTTTAGGTAGCTAAGTTGCCCAGGTGGTGCTTGAACTGGCAACCTTCCTGCCTCGGCCTCCCAGAGTGCTGGGATGACAGGTGGGTGCCACCATGCCTGCCTACGATAGTCCTTTTGGAGAACAGCCAATGAGAAATGAGCTGTCTGAGCTTCAGGGGAAGGAACTGGAGGCAGAAACAAGCGAACCATTAAACAAGCCTTCTTTGATGCCTTCCGCATTCAACCCAGTGGGAGGCCCTCCTTGTGCTTGGGAGCCGTCCCCAGTACACCGATTCATTTCAGTCTCACTCTCAACATCAACAAGCGCGGAGCCCGGGAAGTGGAGAGCAGCAACAGGCCCACCTGTCCACCTGTGAGGCCCTCTGTGGCCCTGTGTAAAGGGTAGAGCCAGGGGCGTCTTCCTTACTCCCCAAACACCTGTCCCCGCATCCAGAGCCCGAGTGAGCACAGAGGCGGTGGCCCCGGGAGCTTACTCTTCAATATCCGAAACGTCTTTGGTCTCGAAGCTGCCTGTGGTGAGGAGGCCTGAGCTGAGATTGCCCTGGAAGAGCAGCTCCTCCTTGGCCATCTTCACCAGGATAAGCCTCACCAGCTCCCCCATGTACATCCCGCTGATCATCTTCTCGAACCTGCGGGGAGACACAATGGCCGGTCAGCACACACACAGCCTTCCTGGGACACACGCGACACTGGCGCGCATTCTAGAGGCCGTTGTATGGTTAGGGATTAGCTTATGTGGCACTGTCAAGAAATCAGATGTGGGGCTGGGGCTGTCCTTCATGTGACAGCCCCACCCTCAGCAGCCAAAGGAAACATCCAGGGGACATTCTAGGACAAGCTGGGTTGTAGGTAAAGTAAGGTTTGTCTAGGAAAGGGAGTTTTACAAATTCTTCTCCAGGAAGAAAATGATTTTTGCTGGATGTGGTGGTGCATTCCTATAATCCCAGCACTTGGGAGGCTGAGGCAGGAGGATTGCCATGAGTTTAAGGCCAGCCAGGTGTGGTGGCACACGTCTGTAATCCCAGCACTCAGGAGGCTGAGGCAGGAAGATCCTTGTGAGTTTGAGGCCACCCTGGGCTACAAAGTGAGCTCAAGGCCAGCCTGAACTGCATAGCGAAACCCTGTCTCAAAAAGACAAAAGAAAAAAAAGAAAGAAAACGATTTTCAAAAATAAAATCTTATGTAGAGCCCCAATATATTTTTTTCAAGAGAAAAAAATGTCAGTCTGATTAAATGCAGGGCATAGTCCTAGCCACTCATCAACTCATGCTATACTCTCCCTCCAGGGCATTTGTGGGTTCCTGTGAAAACAACCTGGGACTCGGGGAAGGGGAAAGGTCACAAGAGTAGGCTGGGACAGAGCTCAGGAATCTAGGGGTAAGTGCACTAAAAGTTTCTGAGCAGGTAGGTGACAAGCGGAGAGGCGGAGGGCACCCCTCAAACTGAGAAGGCAGCTGGAGTAATCTAGTTTTCCAACACTAGGTGACACTGTTTTCTTTAGAAATCGGTCTTTTTGGCTAGGATTATGTGACAGGAAAGCAAGGCCTGGTGATTTTCTTTTGGGCAAAGAAGGTCCCTCAGAAAGAACCTGGCTCTTAGAGAGTGGCACCTGGGGCCTGCCAGGACTAATCAGGGTGGGCTATAGTAACGGAGAGCCCTGAGCAGCAGAGTAGAAAGGATTCTGACGTCACCTACCAGACAGGAAACCCATGCCCCAGAAAGATACTTGCTCTAGGCCCAAAGCCAGGTATGGTGGGGTTGGAGCTAAGGGAGAGGTGGCAGCCTTGCCTTGAGCTCAGGGTGCGTGAGAAATGCAAAGCACCAACACAGGCACTGCCAGGGCAGCAGCTTGGCCTCCACAGTAAAGAATTCACATGCCTGCTTCGGTATCCTTTTCCCTGAAAGGACCCTAGAGTCAGAGGGCCCCATTGTGTGACACTATCGTGATTTCAGGGCTACCACGGCGAACAGTTTGGAATACGTCCTTTCAACCTTTTGTCTTATGGATGGAAAGGCCAGAGGTGTGTTGCCAACTGGCTGGCAGTTTTCCCTCGACACTTCAAAGGACACATGGCTCCTCAGAATGACAAGGGCGTGTCTCACTAATGGAGGCAGACACTGAGTGACTTCTCAGCTCATAAACCTCTCATCACCCATGGAAGACACAACCGGTATGTTCCCAAGAAAGTTCAAGTACGTAGACTCACATTCCAACATGTAAGGGAAACTTGAGACCGAAAGAAACCCTGCACTGAGGAGACAAGGGCTCTCCGGTAAACAAATGGGCTACCCGGTGCCGATCTGGTTTCCCTCTTCAAGCAGAGATCTGCCCTAAAAGCTTTCCGAAAATGATCACAGCACTAAGAGGACCACAGAGGTGCTGCATGCTCCAAGTGTTTTGCAACTGTCTTCAGCACTTGCAGCATTCCTGTTTCAAGCTCCTCAATAGGAACGTTTGGCAAACATGAAAATGAAATGATGTTGTGCAAGAATCAAAAGTAACAAAAAACCAAGTCTGATCAGGCTGGAGTGTACAGTGCTCAGGGTGCAGAATGCCAGGGCCCCTCCTCCGATCCACCCCTGGACACGGTTGGGTCAAGGCCCAAGGCAGAAGCCAAAAAGGCTCCTTTGCCAGCTTTTCCACAGGTCTTGGTTAGCGTGCTTCTGGGGCAGGAGGCCCTGGGACTCTGTGGGCACTGGTGGGGTGGCAGCTAGCAAAGGGGCTTCCAGGGACTCTCGTCTTGACTGTCTAGATATGACTTTTCTATGTTGCTCCCAGGTTCTATGGAAAAGTTAAAATACAAGGTAGAAACAAAGACAAGAGTCACACACTTAGAACATGACCTTCTAAAGTGACCGCCTGAAGGATGATCTAGTTTATCTACTTTATTGATTTCAGAGCCATGTCAGAGATTTACAGTCACAAACATTTCCCCTAATCAGTGCTACCTTGCTAACCTTTCGCAGACGATGTTAAGATTATAAAGAAAACATGAAAACAAGCCCCTGGCCCTCGCCAGCCCCAACCACAGCCTCCCAGCCCTCCCCGCATCACACGTACAGAAAAGGACACTCACAATTGCTTCCCAGGGTTCAGGGAGCCCATGTCGATCTCTTGGTCAAACTCAGTGCGGATGTCATTGAGTGCGCCATCGTCTCCAAAGGCCCCCCACTCCATGTTGATACACATCCGCCCCTCGTCGCCTTCTACCATGTCGATGTGGCGCATCTCCTCCATGTAGCAGGCATTGCTGCCAGTGCCTGACCAGAGCAAGGGACCAGTCAACACTTACTTCCATCGTCCTCCCCTGCCTCATCGCCCTCTTCTTCCCCTCCGAAGTGACTGCACCATAGTCGTCAAATGTGAAGAACAAGGAAATATCCAGGCATATTCTAGACATATTCTGCCCTCTATAGTCCACACCCCTAAGCACGAGACACTGGACTGCGCCCGCCGTCACACTGTGAGCTCACTCACCCACAATGAGACCAATCTCACAGTTCTGGTCATCATAACCACAGGTCATCATGGTCCCCACCGTGTCATTCACCACGGCCACAATGTCAATATCAAAGTCCTGTGGGAGCAAAGGGAGGGCACACTGTCACAGGAAGGACATGGATGTGAAGATGGAGACACTAAGAATGAAACACGCAGCTCACGTGTAACAGGCGTGCCCCTTTATCAGCTCAATGAGGAGCTAAAGAAGATTAGAGCTGGAAATCTGGGCCCAGGCTCCGTCAAAAACAGCAGCAACTCCCGCCAGTTGTCTCCATTATGGAGGACAATTTTCCTGAAAACATCTTTGCGGTCTAGTTTGTAGACATCACTGACTAAGGACTCACGTTGTTTTCTCTTTCTTCTCTTCCTTCACTTCTTTTCTTCCTCTTTTTTCTTTTCTCTCCTTCTCCCTCCCCATAATCCTTCCTATGGCAGACTTTCACGCTGTCCTCTCTGCCCTATTCCCCCTTCATCTCAGCGTCATACCAACTTGACAGCCAAGTCTTCTTTCTTCATGGCTAAAAAGTGAAGGCTTTTTCTTGCACTAAGGTTAAGATTACCCTCCATCGTGCAAATCTCAGAACCTCAAAGGCGTGTGCTTACAGACAAAATGCCCGAGTAAACACAGCACAGCAGGGAAGAAGCAACTTCCCAAAACCTTCTCAAGTTGAGTGTGAGGACAGACAGCGGAAGCCTTCACAGTGGACCCAACAGGACCTGCAGACCCCAAGCTCCTGCCCCCACTCACCCCTCTCCGTTGGATGGCCTTCCGGATCAAAGTCACAATGTCTTTGCCTTCCACTCCACTGGATTTGAATCCCTTGGTCCATGAGACCAGGAAACTCTAGAAAAGGACCAAGGAATAAATACTGAATCCCCACAACTAAACCCCAGACCACATTCCTCCAACAGTCTTCATTAGCAGGGACGTCTGCCACCGGGCTAAGGTCACGAATGAATTTATAGACTGCCTCTTGACTAGCCTAGGAAGGAGAAACCCAGGCTTGGGACCAGGAAAAGAGATGAAATGAATGGCTCATTCATGATTCACTGCCCCTAAGAAGGGAAAAAAGCAGGGTATGAACTGCCAACATAAGAGATTCACACTTTCACACTGTCAACTGCCAGGCAGCCTTCTTACAAGGGTCTTTCTTATAGTATTTAAGGTCAGAAGAATTCCTAAAAGTGTGTGGAGAGTAACAAGGGCACACCCCATATGTCCTCACACCCCCCACCTACACACACACACCCTAGAACTATCAACTGTGCATAATGAAACACTGCCTGTCCAACCCTTTGGTGCTGCCACTAATACCCCCGAAGCAGGTAGCTCTGGAGCCCTCCCCAGTCCTCCCAGCCCTGAGAGTGATGCATTGGGAACCCTCTTACCTCATCTAGTTTAGTCTGGTGGCAAGGGAAGGAGAAGGTAAAGCCCAGCGGGAGCTTCTTGTCTTTGATTTGTAGCTTATCCATGAAGTTGGCCAGGCATTCAGCAATGTGGTCAAACAGCTAAGGATACATGACACAGGATGATGAGTGGGGAGGCGGGATAGCACAGAGGTTACAAGAGTAGGGACACTGAACTCTGAAAGAAACTATTTGTGCCAGATCCTTATCTTTTCCTCTGAAGTCTTCATCTGGTCATCTATAAAATGGGAATGATAACTGAACCTGCTTGCTGAGCTACCAAAGGATTAAATGAGTCAGTACACAGGAGGGCTTAACACTAGTTAATACTCATTACATGGTATCTTCCAGGTAAACCATTTATCCAGGCTCTTCTCAAAGTCACCCTGTGAGGCAGGGGGAATCACAACCAAAGTTATCAGAAAGTCAGTGCAGGCCCTGAGAACGGAGCACACTTGGCGGCCCTGAGAACGGAGCACACAGAGGCCCGGCTGATTATCCTACAGGAAGGAAATCCCATCTCACTGCCAAGAAGCATTTCAGCATCCCTGTCTCTCATGATCAGGGGAGAAAGAAGTCTTTCTCTGTTCCCATTCTTTGAACAGACTTAACAAAAATAAGCAACTTTTCTAGTTCTCCATTCTATAAAATGAATGCCCTGGAGACAATTCAAGTTCTCTTTTATTTATTTTTTTCTTCTCGTTTCACGAAGGAGACCAGTGTTCTAGGAAGAGCCCTGCAGAAGTGTTTTGTGGGTGGGGAACCTTACAACTGTGGCCATGCTGAGCAGGACCTAAAAAGCTCCTCAGCCTCAGAGAAACTTGTTCACAATAAGCCAGGCTTCATATCAGTCTGGGAGGCCACAGCCCCCAGGCTTCCTTTTGCTTAGTCAACACCCTGAGGGAGAAATCGGTGCCTCTCCAGGTGCAAAGAAGCTGAGAGAAGGGGCATCTGGTGCAGAAAGTAATCAGAGGCCAAGGAGGCTGCCTGAGCAGATTCCAAGGAGCAGGTTGACCAGGTGGCAATATCTCAAAGGCGGGGAGAGCAGTGAGGAACAGAAGACAAGTTATCTTTTCCTTTCCAGAAAGAAGTTGATTCTACGAAAGATTCCCAAAGTGGTAATCCTGGACACCATGAACACCATCACCTGGGACTAGGTTAAAAATGTACATCACGCCCCTCCCCCAAGCTTCGGTATCAGAAACTCTGGGAGGCTGAGCAATCTGTTAACAAGCCCTCTAGGTGATCTGACAAGGTATGAACCACAGGACCTCATTTGCATTTACACAGGAAATAGAAGGTGGAGGGAGGGAGGCGACAGGCCCACTGGCACCAGATGCCTGGGGTATGGTCAGGGGGAGGGGTCCAGGGGGACAGGGCCAGCCCAGTGTGGACGGTGGCCAGCTTTAACTGAGCTCCAGCCTCAGATTCTGTTCCTCTATCTGATCCCCTGCAAAGTTAACCACAGCAACCAGAACCTTCGACCTCCAAAATAACACATCCTCAAGGCTGCACTAAGGCAGGGCTCTCTGACCAAAAGGGGCCACGCACCCACATGGGCCAACTCCTCCGACAAATTTTAATATGTAAATAGGGCTTCCAGAGCGCTATTCAGTAAGCTCTAGTCTTTTGTTAAGAAGCTAAAGACAAACTGAGGGATATATTTATATATTAAACAAACACATAGCAACTTCTTGATTCGCTAGTCAAACTTCTACTACAAAACAGAAGGAAGTTGCAGAAGGTGTGCAAAGAAATAAAGCAATCGCTGAAAAAGGAAGCACCCTCAGAAGACAGATAAGCAAGACAGCTTCCCCCCACCAGCCCTGACCCCTGTTCCCTCTCTAGCTGCACTCCAAAGGGAGGGGCAGAGGAAAAAAAAAGGCAAGAAAGAAGCTCTATAACTGCCTCAGACCACAGACTAGCCACTAGCCATCTGTGACTATTTTAATTCATTTATTTGTTTACAGTACTCGGATTGAACCCAAAAGCCTTCCTACTAATCTACATCCCCAGCATTTTTAAAAAGACAGATCTAGCCAAGTTTCCCAGGCTGGCCTTGAATTTATGATCCTCCTGTCTCAACCTCCTAAGCCACTGAGAAAACAAGGTGCATTACTATGCCCAGCAGAATGTTAAAAATTAAAATTCAGCTTTTCCATCAAACTAGCCACATTTCAAATGCTCAGTGTCACAGGTGGCTGGCAGCTACCATGCTGCACAAGACAGATAGTGAGCAGGTCTATCATTGCCTGAACTTCCCTTTGCCAGTGCTAGGTTCAAAGAACTTATACCTTTTTAAAACTGGGGAAGAAGAGACCATCTGCTTCCTAGAACTGAAAGGCTGTCTCTCTGTGAGCTGAAGACCCAAGGATAAGATGCTGGGAAAAAGAGCTAATAACTTCCTGTCATAAAAAGGCTCAAAAGGCATCATTTTATGAAGTTATAAACGTTTCTTTTTCCTTGCTGGTCTGAGAATCTGCCCACTCCCCTTCATAAAAGACACACCTTAGCCGGGCATGGTGGCACACGCCTGTAATCCCAGCACTCAGGAGGCTGAGGCAGGAGGATCGTTGAGAGTTTGAGAACAGCCTAGGCTACAAAGTGAGTTCAAGGCCAGCCTGAACAGCACAGCAAGACCCTATCTCAAAAAAAAAAAGACACACCTTAAAAATCTTAAGTGGCTGCACTTCAGGTTTGTGGCCCACTGCTCTGCAGAGGAAATCAGTGTGCCAGACGACAGGTTTACCCAGGAGCCACCATGCCCAACACCCAGGTTCTCAGTTCAAGAGCCTTTTGCAAGTTTGGGACTTGGTTTTGGTCTTGGTTTTAACTAAATCACATTTTTAAGTTCATGTTTTCCTTTAATTAAAATACTTATAACTAATATCCAAAAAGGGGAGAAATTATATACATATATGAAAAATAGTACCAGTAATTATATCACTAAGTAGCTCCTTTGAATTTTTTTCCAGTTTTGTTCTAAACGTTTTGTTTTGAGGCACATAGCATTATTTCTCTTCCTCAAGGTGACAGACACCTTTGTATATTATCTTCTAGTTTTGTTTCATTTTTGTATAGCATTTTTCTCACTTATTCGAAACCCTTCTAATATCCCAATAGTGATATTATTGTTTCTTCCAGATAGGCATCATGGTTTTTATTTTTTTACATCTTTTATTCTATTTTAAAAATTTGAGCCACAACATTTTGTCTATTTAATGTATTAAGAATAGAATTACCTTTCTCTATAACCCCTAACTAGGTGGTTTAAGAGATTTTAAAGTAAGTTTTTCCAAGAACTTTACTCTGATCTTGAATGTCTGAACTGAATTCCCTCTCTGGGTTACCAGAGACCCACATGTGCTGTCCACGGCCACTGGCCGGCTCTGGGGAGAACGCCTGCTGCAGAGGCTGCGAGGTGCCTGCGTCCTTCGTGTTGCTGAGGAGTGGACAGGAGGCGACGGAAATGAGGAAAAGGTCTACCCAACGTGCCATCATCGTGTTGCGAGTCTTTTCCACACTCACAGAGAAACCTTTTGGTTTTGTCTTGTTTACTTGGTTCTCAAATATTTGTGATCGGGTGTTGGGACCCAGCATGGAGGTAGAGGCAGTGGGAAAAGTCATCACATCCTCCATGATGGGGAATGACCAGCAACAGAGACAAGAAGTGGAACATGAAGAAACAACTAGATGAACAGACAAAACCTCCTCAGGAAAAGCAGTGAGAGTGCCGGGTGATGGGCCAGGCCCTGTGCAATGTACTGAGCATGCACCTTCTCCTCTAACCCTCACCACAGCCTAGGCTCTGCCATCTCCCTCTTTACAGATGGATAAACCTAGGTTCTGCCAGACATGGGGGAGACAGTGGAAGAAGGGCCTCACTCCTCTGTGTCCCTCCAGACAGTGGACTAAAGCCATGTAACACTGTCCTGGGACACAGCCTCCTTCAACCCCAGCAATAAAACCGAGAAAGCAGGCTCACCCTCAAGCCAGCCCCAAAGACAAAGGACCAAAAACTATCGCCCTCCCTTGATCTGCTCAGGTGACCTGGTCGGTGGAAGGAACAGCAAATAGAAAACAGAAGGCTTCACTTCTCCCAAGCCCTGAGAGCCATGAGGCATCTTATATCAGTGTTTCTCCTCTACTTGTTCCTTTTACAATTGAGTAATCAATAGGTATAAAATCCAATAGGGAAAGCCAGAGGTCCATCCGACATGGGTCCCTCCACCTGTGCTAGTATCCAGGGATGTCTTGATGATTATCTTTCCATGGGCCAAGAGCAGAGGGAGAAGGTGTAGAAAGAACATCCCCAGACAGGTGTTGGTGGCTGGCAGGAGCTTTCCTGAGAAAAGGGTCCCACCTGAGTGCCGCTGCCTCGCATGATGTCCTCCGGGATGGCATAGATCTGGTTCTCCATCTCAACCTTCTGGAGCCCGTTATCTGTGACTTTCACCCAGAGCACACGGAAATTGGTCCCTCCAAGGTCCAGGGCCAGGAACTCTCCATGTTCTGTAGATAAAGGAAAGACCACTGTAAGTTTTAGGAAAGACAAGATCAAGCTGCTTCCCAGAAACAAATCAGGACTTAAAACCTTCAGTCCCAAGTGTGAGGTCCTGAGTTAGATTCCCAGTACTTACACACACACAAGTCACTTAACCTTGAGTCCCTCCAAAAGCAATGGCCATCTATGGTGAAACAAGGTGACTAATGGATTTTACTTTTTTTAACACATTTATATTTGGTTTTATTAATGCTAAGCACTTTTATGTTTCTTCTCCAATTCACATCAACAACAGGACAGTTTCTCATCCAACAATGGGGCACTCACCCCCTCACAAGACTAGGTCATCAGCACCTTCAGCAAGTCCTCATAGAGCTCCTGGGCTCCAGCAAGCCCGGTGCTCTGCAAGTCTGTCGGCCCCAGACCTGCTACCAAACTGTGACTCCAGTCCGAAATTGACTTGTAATATTTTCCTACTATGACGGTGATGTCCTGCAACAGCATGCAAGGCTCGCGTGATGGAATGAAGTGGGATCCAACTGGCTGTAAATTCAGCGGCCTACCAAATAAAGCCCGCTGCCCCAAGGACCTCAGGCTTACTAGACAGGAAGAGGATGCCGACCCCGGGTGTAGGATAAGTTTTGGGCCCCTTGGCTGCTCCACTTGAGTCACAGAGCTGTGAGGGACCCCTCAAAAGCTCCACAGAGAGACACCAGGAAGGCAGAGTTCCTTCCCGCCAGGAAATAAGCAGTGCAGACAGGAAACATCCAGATGTGGGACAATAATGCGGTCAGCTATAGGGAAGTGTCCCATTGTATGGCACAGAATGAAAGTGCTGAAGAGGCGCGGAGCCCAGACAGGGCTGTGAGTGGCAAGCGAGCGGGTGGGCGGGCAAAGGCCAGGAGAAGAGGCGGCTCGCCCACACCACAGCCTCAACTGCTAGTGCTGCCGGAACACCTTGAAAGACACAAGAACTTCCCAGGGGATTCACCTAGGGACATATTAGCTCTCAGCCCCTCTCCCAAACAAGGCCTGCCCCTGAAATAATGCACAACAGATGGGAAACCCAGGCATAGGCTCTGACTAAATAAACCAAAGGGCTTATTCTGGGTCCAGGTCTCCCCAGCATCATTCGCCCTTTGGTCCTAAGAAAAGCCACATCTTGTCATCTCCATGACAATACTATCCAGTCCCTAGAGTGCAGAGAGGAAACCTGGAGGAGACCTCATCCCCTGGAGACTCCACAGGACCCACTTGCACACATAGCCAGCTGCCAGGTGACAATGGCAGAATGGATATGGAGCCCTTATTACCTATGTGAGAATCCTCTTGCAGCAGAAACAAGCTCCTGGGGCCTAAGTCTCAACTGCCTCCTCTCTAAAACAGGATCATCAGATCTCACAGGGCTGTTGTGGAGTAAAAGATAATCTAAAGGGCCATAAGCAGCTAGCACTGTATCAGAAGCTCAAGACACACTCAGTAAGTGTGATCCAGGCTGTCTATCCAACAAATGTTGCCCTACATCTACACCTGAGTCTCCCAGGCCCAAACAGCAAGGGATACTACAAAAATCTGCCCAAGAAAAGCCACTGGAATCAGCTCCAGTGACTTCAGCATTCCTCCCGAGGAGCACTGATTTTCCATTCCCTGCCTGGTATCTGGAGGCAGCCCCACTCGGCAAAGGAGCTTGCTCACTGAAGCAATGCCAACCCATCTGGGGGGACTCACTCCTGCCGTGGCCATGGGCGACTTTTCCAGACACACCAGTTCTGAACATCCCTAATAGTGGGATCTCAGCCAGATTCTAGGAAACACTATGTGGCGGTGGTCATGAGGAATGAAAAGGAAAATCAAAGACAAACTGCCTCATCAGCACTCTGAGGCCCAGGACACACACAATCTGCTGAATCAGTGAACACGGGGGACTGAGGCAGCCAGGCCGGCCCTGGTTGGTTCTCATCCAAGACTAGCCCAGCTGGATTCACTGGAGGGGCACAGCTCTTCCAGGAATGTGGTTTTGCCTATTTTCTGTTGGACTGAAGGGAAATGACTAATAATAAAAGGCTGCTGAAAATTCCCAGAAAGAAATCCCAGGCTCCTCTGGAACAAACATCCCTCCACATCCCTCCTTCCCAGCACCTGCTCCACAAACATATGACAACTACCATAGCCAAGGACTAACACTCCTTGAATCCAGAAGCTGAGGCAGGTCCAGCATCATAAATCCAGAAATCTTAATGTGATCCCTCAGGGCAATAAACAGATGCTCTTCCTCGTTTCCATATCTACATGTAGGACAGTCCACCATAAAGCCGTGATTAAGTGCTGGTAAGAGATGATGGGCAGGCCTCATTATTTCCAGCTCAGCTGTTTCATTACCTGTGTGCCATTGGCCACAAAGGGCTCTCTAGGATATCACCCTACCTGTAGAACACAGCTCATAATACCAACTTCTCCCAGCAGTTGTGAGGCTTACATGAAATATGGAAAATGTTAAATGTGTACATGTGCCCTTAGGTACATTTTATAATGTAAGCTAGTGGTGCCAAACCTATGGCGTGCATGCCGCAATGGGCCATTCATACCACTGAGAGCTCTAAAAAGTTCGCCATCACTGTAGTTAGCCATCAACAAATACCTAACGTCCTTGACATTGTGTATTATTACCATTATCCTAGTCTTATTATGTATTACTACCATTGTTCTAGTCTTATTATGTACCTAGGTTTTCAGCAGATCCAAACCGTATCTACTACTGCTGGTAGCTGAAGATCTATCTCCACTGAGAACTTTCTAGAACATTCCAGAAGCCCAGAGTAGAATTCATATGAGAATGTGATGGGGTATGAAGCACAGATGCATCTGCAGGCCTGAACAAAGCAGGATAAAGACTGTTGCACATAAAAACAATACACCAAGGGCAAGCTTCGTAAGAAAGGACAAAAGCAGAGGGCCCCATAAGGTCAGACAAAACATTCTGTAAGTAACTGATATTTAAGGGAACTTTTGAGGAAACTATCTCTTGCTTAATTTGTCCATTGGTAGTTCATTTATTAAAACGTTTGAGGAATTCCAGGAATATGGTGAAGTAGTGAATGCCAGAGAAACAGCCTCTCTGAGATTTGGTATCCAGGTGCTGGAATATAGCAATATGAGGAAGAAAAGAGGGATGTGGGTCCCTGGGACCCAGGAAGGATCTGAAGTAAGAATTCAAGCCAGCATGGAGAATGAAGAGAGAGAACTCAACAAATAAGAGGTGGAAAGCAACACTTTCTCCCTTAGCCCTAACTCACTGAGTAGGAGGGCATCTCAAACCTGCAGATGCATGGCGACTACTGGAGACCCCAGAGGCCTTGATGGAAAAACACACCAGTGAAATGAAACGGTGGACACAGTGGACTGCAGTGGCTGGTGAGTTATTTGGGTTCAGACATCCCCCAGGAGCTGGCAGTTGGCCAGGGGCCATCTTGGAGAGGGGCCGACTGACCTAGGAACTCAGAGCAGCTGCAGGCTGGCTCCATCTAGTGGCTCCCCATGTCAGGGTGAGGCAGAACTGAGTTCAAGTCAGCAGGAGGTCAAGGATCTGAGCTCAAACCAGCAGGCGGATAAGTTCAAGCCAGCAGAAGGCACACAGAGTATTGCAGGCTGAACAAACTGGGTTCCAGCATCACAGCCAGAAATCAGCCTGAACTTCAGTGGAACTAAAGGTGCAGGTTTGCTGAGGTCATCCATTACCCCGATGTGACTCTACAGCTGACTTGTTGGGATTAATCAACAGGAATCTGAACTCTGTCTGCCCACTTCTGTCTACCAGTGACAGAGACATGCTGCCTAGAAGTAGACTTTTTTCCTCTTTTCTTGTTTTTTTCTGATTGTTACTCTTTTTAGATGAATGTGAACACTGTTTTGCTTTTCTTTGTTTTCTGTTCTTGTTTTTATTTCTTCCTTCTCTTCCCTGTCTTCTTCACCACTTTTTCAAAGTTTGCATAATCTTCCCTTGTCCTCCAGCCTTGCTTCTAATCTCTTCCTCTTTTTCTATTCCTCTACTTGCCCCCAACTCCTAAATTTTCTTCACTAAGGGTAAAAATCACCATACTGAGGGCATATTTACTGTATAAAATGTTATGAAGTATTTTAAATTTTGTTGTACAACCAAATTTTGATGTACAAACCTAGTTCATACAGTTAAAGGCAGCAAATTAAGAGTTACCAGTTTGTCACGTTTTATGCTATTGTTATTGCTGATTGTACTACTTTAGCCAAAGTGACATAATTGTTCTAATCAGTTGTTCTTCATATCATGCCTATAATTCCAGCACTCAGGAGGCTGAGGCAGGACAACTGTTGTGAGTTCAGGACCTACCCAGGATACAAAGTGAGCTCAAGGCCAGCCTGAACTGCAGAGCGAGACCTTGTCTCAAAAAGGCAGTTTTTCTTCATGGTATGCCAAGACTGAGATTGGCTAAGGGCCATGAAAAATACTATAGGTCAGGGCCAAAGAACCAGGAGGTAGGCCAAATAGGCAGCAAATTCTCATCCCCAATAAATTGAAGAGGTGGGAAGTTGCAAAACCCAAAAGACAGCTAGCTATACCTGCAAGACATTTCTGAGAAGCAGTCATTTCCTAAGGGTTCTAATATTAGCAATAAACCTACTTGCCATAGATAGTATACAAGCATCAATCCAGGAATTAAAACACATAGAAAATGAGAAGACACTTAAGCAAGATGCAGCCTCAGACATCCAGCTTACCAAAGGGAAACTTGGGAGCAGTGAGGTGGAACAATCTGAAAGCCACCCATCATGACTCTCTGAAGTGGTAACAGCAGAAGAAACAGAGCAGATAAACTAGGCTCTAGGGAAAAAAAAGGGGGGGTCAAACCAGAAATAATTTCTCAGGTAACTATAGGGATGTTGACCATAATAAAAAAGATATGCTAAGTGACTCTAAAGCAGATACAGATAAAAAAAAAAAAAGTAGATGACATAGGAAAATGATGGAAACCAT